TTATTATTATTGTTATGTACAATTTAAAAATGATATATACACACATATAATTATTATTATTATTATTATATATGGATATATTTGAATATGTTTCACTTTTTATTTTATACAAAATAGATAATAGACAAGATAATATTAAGGTATTTATTAAAAATATAAATATATAAGATAATAGATAAGAAAAATATTAAGATATTTAGTGATTTTTATATTTTTAATTTATACTGTATATGTATACGCACACACACACACACACACACACTAAAGAACATGGAAGTATAAAAATGTCAAATAAAAATATATATATATCTTAATTAACTGACTGATGTACATTTATTTAATTTTATTAAATTTTTCAATAGCCTTATTGTCCTTTAGAACTGTCGCAGTGGCCTTCAGTTCATTCTGCATCATTTCACCCTAAACTTACTCATTACCCACAATTCTCTCTGTAATGATCCCACGCAGCAGGAAACAGCTAAATAACAGCATTAAAAGAGCAAATCAAAGTTCACTGGCCATTTGGTCTTTCCAGACCACTGCCTCAGCACTGGCCTTGTCTTATAAAGGTCATTATGCTGTATCATTGATCTATTTCTGTTGTAAATCTATGTATATGTACAAATCTGTCAATAGGTATTTTAGTTAGATATTTCATGCCAATTTGATAATGTTTTATCATTTTCAAGGTATCAGAATATGCTTTTAAGTATTGTCTCAACATCCAGCAAGTGATCAGCTCAGCACTCTGGCCTCCTGCTAAGAGCGAAAGAGTAACTTTCCCTCCAATCGTCACCAGTTTCTCAATAATCTGTTGGTGGTGCTCTGTCTGAAGGTGTGGGATGAGGCGGTCGTGCCCGGTGACAGCTCTCCAGGAGGGTGTCATTAGGGCGAACGGTGTAAAGCAGAAGAGTCTGAGTGTGATTGACTTGTCAGCCCATTATGAGGCTGTAGAGGAATTATTGGCTCACGAGCGGAGCAGGCTGAGGACGTGGATCATGACGCTAGCAGCCCAAACTGTTCACGACTGAGTAACTGTCTGCAAACTTTATAAACCAAACCTCCTGTGAGAATAAAGATGGAGCTCTGTCCAATTTTGATTGTCACCCTCGAGGTTGTGTTTGGCTTTAATTTTGGAGTCACTATGGTACCGTCAAGATACTTTAGTTGTGAATGAGTTGTTGTGTGATGATAATAAATCTCCTTAACGTTTTACATTCACACAAAATGTCCAAACTAGATTGCTTGTAATCAGTAGCGCCGTCGACACTGGATTTTTCTGCTGGGATGCACCTTTAGGTGACAGACGTCTAATTTATATTTTAGATGCACTGCAGAGCTACTTCTGCTACTGTATGTTTCTCATCCATCTGAAATAAGATGATGTTGTTGACAAATATCATATGTGATATGTTTTTACTATAGATTTTATTTGTTGTACAGTACCAGTCAAAAGTTTTTGAACGGTAAGGTTTTTAATGTTTTTTAAAGAATTCTCTTCTGCTCACCAAGCCTGCATTTATTTGATCCAAAATACAGCAAAGGCAGTAATATTGTGAAATATTTTTACTATTTAAAATAACTGTTTTCTATTTGAATAGATTTTAAAATATAATTTATTCCTGTGATCAAAGCTAAATTTTCAGCATCATTACTCCAGTCTTCAGAGTCACATGATCCTTCAGAAATCATTCTAATATGATGATTTGCTGTTCAAGAAACATTGTATTATTATTATTATTATTATCAATATTTAAAACAACTGAGTACATTTTCTCAGGATTCTGAAATGAACAGAAAGATCCAAAGATCAGCATTTATCTGAAATAAAAAGCTTTTGTAACATTATAGGCTACATATACCATTCAAAAGCTTGGAGTCAGTGTATATATATATATATATATATATATATATATATA